ATATATAAACTCATTGTACAAGAGATGTACTCATACTACCTCTGCTGTGTACGTAAGCGATTCCTAGAGAATTACTTAGTTTTTGGCTGATGTATGCCGAGGTACATGTGACTTATCACATTTGTTATTTACAATGATATTTGCTTTCTTTTGATTTATTTAGGTTCTGGCTACGAATTTCGTCGACAAATTGGATTTAAAAAAGCCCTATTTTATCCACACACGCTACCCTTGTGCGATTCAAAGTTAATATAATCACGATCTTTGCCATGATGCCAAGGTGCTGTATTATAATTCAATGAAATGTATGAAAAATTATATTCCATGTGCCCTTTCAACGGTTATGAAAAGTGCCAACGAATTACGCCCTTTTGTACTATTGGCACAGAAGTGACTCCTTCCGTACATTTTTACAAACAGTCGGATTTTTAAATACTTATTTCTGAAATTTTTATTAATCATTGTTATCGAGAGAAATATTACCCACATTAAACTTAAATAATCGTGTTTCGTATTTTTCATCGAGTGGAAGACTTTGATGACCTACGTAGCTTTTACACTAATTCTTAAAGAAACACATTTTACTAGCCCATAATAAATTATACTGTGTTTACATGTTCAGGCAATCCAAGAAATTGACAACTTATTTATGAGAGCTATGTTCTTTATTGGGTTGTTTCTATTATTGCAAAAAAGGGAAAAATCTACGTTTGTTAACGTCAAACATTTGAAAACGACAGGAAAATGTTTAAACGTGTGAATAGCAAATTACCAAGATGGGGAGAACCTGTATCCTACCTACTGGTATAGCAGCGCCCTCCTTTGTGTGTCAGTGTTGCGCTACACTGAGCCGATGTACATCCGTCAAACGACGTGAACAAGCAAGTGAGTGCCGGTATGCCTCGACGCCAAACGGCGCAAAATCGGCATCTGAGTCGGTTCGAGCGGGGCAGAACGATTGGTCTCCGGGAAGCGGGTCTGTCCTACCATGACATTGCGGCACGAACGG